TTGGTTTTTATACTTGTACAGCACCAGACAACCGGCTATCATAGTCAAAACGTCCACTTCAACCAGATTTCTTCGCTCCTGCAGCCTTCAAGATCACCTACCACACTGTTTTTCCAGCACGTTCAAACTTTTATATCCATTCTTACCTTTGATACAATGGTTCTTTTACATCTTGATTCAAGCTTGGAACCTTTCTCATGTTTCCCGCGGACATCAATTTCACTCACGGTGTCGATTGAGCTTTCGATCCAGTGACAGCAGTCTTTTTCCGAGGATGTTGACTTGTTTTTCTGCAAGATGCTTCCTTCCACACAAGACTTTTAACTTTGGATATTTCAAGCCATTGTGGTTCAAATTCTCAACGACCGACAGCCCTCAGTTCCCCAACACTGCTCGGCTCATTTTTGCGATTTCAACTATGGATGCACATCAACAATGGTGGCACCAATACTATGCTACCGCGGCCCCCAGCGCGGGATACGGGCCGCTGACAAATGCAGTACGTCATCACTACCAACATCCTTACCACATCCCAACAGCATCTGCTCCCGAACTGACTCGATTGTGTCCGATCGGGTTCCGTCATCCGCCTCAGTGACAGTCAAGACTTCAACACCTTCCGTACGGCTTCCGACTTCTTTCATCTCGGACTCCGGTGATGTGCAAAACTCAACAATCAGGATTTCGGTACATGTGACCTTATCCATAATCCACAACCATCTCCCGATCCAGTCATACGGCACTTCAAATGAAATGAGAAATGCTCTGACAACTCCGATCGTCACCGATCACAACACCACCACGGCGCCGGCTATCGCCACCACTTTTCCACCTGAACCACTTCTCCCTCCACCTGCCCCCTCTCACCCCACACCATCACCACTGGGCTTTGTGCCTCCCAACACGCCCAACCTGCCAGACACATGGACCCCCAGCAATACACACCTCTATACAAACGCAGTCCATGGACAGACATTATTTCGTACAATACAGCCAACACAGTGGTCCAGGAAATACAACCTTGCAGGACAACCCGTCCTTGAAATATTTCCCTGGCAACTCAGCCGTTTTGGCCTCCAAGATCACAGCCTGCGCACACTTTCACAGGGACGTTACACAGGCATTGTGACCACCAGATCTATCGCAGAGGCAGTCTTCACCTCCCAACTTCTACCCGAGATGCGCGCCCACAACCTGGACATTGACAATATCGCTGAATACCTGCATCAACGAGCACATCAACCAATCCCCAACAAGACCACAGAAGCCAAACAGTTCATGCAGCCTTTGATATCTCGCATCGTCGGCTTCTTGCGAGGACTCACACCACCTGCAGGCGAAGGCACAGCGCTCCGCAACTCCAGCAACAGACAGATCGACTGCACCAACAAGAAAGCGAATTGCAGCGAGCTCGTGACAAACTCAAGAACCACGGCATTGTACTCACACCTACAAACCCTGGAGCAGTACCTGCCCCTGCCTCCGCTTCTCACCCCACCCTTCCCCTGACCGCCCCAGCAGCTCTCACAGCCAACACTATTCTCAACCCCACCTCACAAACCCTACAAGACAATTCACCAGCCAACTATGCAGCAGCAGGCATCCAGAAATGGCTCAAGACACTACCACAAGCAACACAGACACAAGCCAACATCATCATGCAGATCCTCCGAGATGAACGCATCACAAAAGAGCAACTTCAAGAAGCAGCAACACGTTATGGGATTCCTCTCAGCCGTGTGCTTAAGCTCCCACCGCGTTCACTTCAGCAGCTCGTGGCAGCAGGATCAGCCCTGGCGGCCTGACTCGCTCAACAAGCTCTGCATCAACCCACTCATACTACACTACAACATTTGACACAACTCCACACAGCCCTTTCACATTTCGTACATTTCACACCTTTTATTGACAAGACTTACGCGACAGCCTTATCCACATTACATGCCTCTTTGCCTGCCCCTCACACACACATCACTCCAACCAATGGCGTTCACGCCTCCGTCAACTCCACGTCACATCCCACACATACCACTATCACATGTTCACACAACCCAATGCAGTTTATGCCAAACTCTACTTCAATCAACATCAGACAACACATCAATACCACCAGCGCGGACACACCTACATTGGCTCTACCAGCATCAGCATTCCCAAGCGAGAATACAACCGCCACGCCAAACTCAAGCAACTGCAAAACAACCACCCAATTTCAGCAGAACTATCTCTTCGACACTGGCATTCCAAACAAAATCTCCATCACTACAGCACTATTTACCTTTCCCACCACGACACTTACGATCAAGCATGGACCTACGAACACCTCCACATCCAAGATTGGCAACCCACACTCAATTGGCCATACATCCAACGTCACCTCAAACTCAAAGCATCAGGATGGCAATTTGCAAAACACCGCACCACCTTCACTCGTATGTCCACACACAAACGCCTTTTCCAAAGACTGAGACGACGACAAAACACTATTAAAACAACCTAACCTACATACCAGCCAACGACTACACGCCCTGACTGTCCTCCGGGAACTTAGCAAACATACACACTCCTCCTTTGAAACAGCCACAGCCATTCGCAGCGGCAAATACACCGACTTAGAAATCTATGCCTTTCGCCGCATGGCAGCGAGTCTTGAGGAACCTGACCGATCACGAGTACTTCAGATACACTCAGCACTCAGCTTTCGCAATCTCACTCCTACTGAAAAAATGGCTCCGAAACCTGATCCAACACCACATGCACCACGTCATCCCTTTTCACCCACCCACCACCAAGCTTCGCGAAGCCGCGCACAAGACATTAAGGTCACGCCTTTATAACCACAAACAATGGGAAGAACTCTTCTCAGCCAACCCTTCAGCCACCGAAATGCCATGCAGCTGTTCACACATGCACACACTGCTCCGCCCTGATCTCACACCGACAATGTACGATGGCCACTACGCGCTGACCTTAGACGACCTTCAACTCCCAGCCACCTCCAACTGTTTCTCCAAGCGAACATGAACAGCACATTCTTCCCCACAAAAACACAATATTTTCACCAGTTTCACCACCACCTTACTCAGTGGCTCCGCCACCACGGCCTATCCACATCACTACATCAACACAGCGAACCTTTCCTTCAACAACAATGGAAGCACCACATTGACCACATCCACCATATACCGCGATTCACCTCTCGGAACGTCACACAACTGCAGCAATTTCTCACAGACAAACTTGTTTTGCACCATGCCGACCATGAACTGCAGAACCTTCGATTGTTTTGCCCTCAGCACTATTTCCACGGCTGCCTTACAACTTGGAATACACCGCAACTTTTTTCTACCACTTCCCCAACTTACCGCTCAACAACTTCACACCATGCTCACCCAATCGTTCCCCACCAGCATTCGACGAGCCTATCCATGGGGCTTCCGCAAGCATTTCTACACACCTCAGGGAGTCGTCTTCCTAAAACAAAAGAAGTCCTGGAGAAAAGGTCGAACAGTCATCAGCTATTTCCGATCCATCGCCGGTACACTCCTGCGAGCCACTTCCAAAGCACTAGACATTATGCTCTTACATCTCCTACCTCAACATCCGGGCCAACTTTCCATCCCCAAACTATGGCAACACCCACACACACACACACACTTTCACGAAACACCAGCAGACAGTCACCTCACCGCCATCAATGATGACCTCGTCGGCTTCTTCAACAGCGTACCGCACAACGACTGGCTGAGGCAGTCATGAGCCTTGCACTCGCTGGCGCATCCAACACACTACCACCACTCTCAGCATTGACGTACAATCCACTGGCAATTCAACACACACACACATCGGCAGGCACTACATCCACCATCCGCAGCAACGCACCATCGACACACAACACATCCCTCTTATTGTCCAGCATGCGCTTCAATCATGCATTTTCCAGGCCTGCAACTCCTACTACAAACCAACTCTCACCAGCTCTTTGCAACGTTGCCATCACACTCATTGAACACACTTGGCACACCACATATCACGATCTCCTTCAACAACCCAGCCTTCACCTCTTCAATACACGCTACGTTGACCACCGCTACGTCCTGCTTAACGAACAGTTCAGACAAACATTACCTATCACCACACTTGCCCACCCCGATTTTTACGAACACCCGGTTGAAATAGAGCCAGTAGACGACGACCATCTACTCGGCTTCCACATTGATCTGCTCAACAGAACAGTCACTTTCCAGCTTCCCACACACCCATGGCAGATTCGCGACCCACAGTCCGCCGGAAGCCACAGATTACGGCTTTCAGGCCTACAATCACGACGTCACACACTACGTCAATACACCTATCCCCAGCACTTGATCCCAAACACTTCCCAACAGTTGATGCAGCTTTATATGACAAAAGGTCATTCCTACGAACATTGCGCCGCGGCGCTGCGGCCACGTCAAAAAGAGCGAGATTGTCTGCACTTTGCCATCTATTTATTTATGAGCTTTTTAATTTTTTTGGCTGACTCTTACTGCGCCGGATTCGGCTCTCTGTGTGTGTCCACCCCTGTTTCCAAGGGCCTTACTCTAGCTATTCCTACTATTCTCCTCAACCATTTGTACAGAACACTCGCAGGGGGTGCAAGCAGCCCATCCAGTCTTGCACCAACGAAGACACTGGATGTGCGCTGGTGATATCGATTTGGGATGCCAAATCGACGTACCTGCCATTTTCCAATTGTTTGAATCACTTCACTTTCCACGACTTGTTCCAACATTCTGGTCAACTGACTCAGCACTTCTTTTTAGTCAAGGTCTAATTTGCAGTCATTCTAAAGGGCTCCGCGAAGCAGCCTGAAGTCGCGCTCTACGGAGCAACCTTCTCAAGTGTGTGTGCGCGCGTGTGTATGTGAAGAGTGATTCACATCCATAACGCGGAGCGCCCAATGAAGGAGCAACGTAGGAGTCCTGTGTTTTTCTTTGACGTTTGTCCTCACCGCCCAGGTGGACGTGAACACTAAGCAGCCTTTATGGATGCCTCATGAGATGCCGAAGGCCAGAGCTCCACTTGTGGGTGACCGGCTGGCGCAAACCAGAGCACGTTGAACCATCCTTGCTTGGCGCAGCGCTGCCTAGAATTCTGCAAGTTTTTTTTTGCACTCCCAAGCTTGGACGTAAGCATGGCTGCCTGGCGCAAGAGATTTCAAGAGATTCAGCTTCAGGCGCTGCTTTGTAGGTTTTGGAGGGAGGTTCAGGTGTGTATTTGGCATTTGGATGTATAGGTTCTTTTGCTTCAGTTGCTGCTTACAGTGACGATATGACGATATCAGTTAATCGTCCTGCAACCTGATTGCGTTTGATGGAGCAGGACATTTTCTTTCAGAATGCCAGCATCATTGGCGGCGACACCCTGCAGGCCTGGTATGTTATGCATTTGGAAGTGACTCACCCTTCGCATGGTCGGAGCAGATTTCAGGCCAGCAGTGAGACCCTGTGGCGCTGTTGTTTTCTCATCCTCTTGCAGCTGCCGGCATTTACCTAACCTTCCTGGAGCTGAATATATACTGGGAAAACGGGACTCTGTATGGCTTCCGCGGGCAAGCCACTGATGAATCGACAAAATAGGAGGTGGTTACAGTCAATGACATGGGGGAAGACCCTCACGATGCCATGCGACTGTTCTTTGCAAATTGCGATGGGCAAGAAACGAAAGCACAAGAGCGTGGAAGCGCAAGAATGTAATAGGCATAGGTATCAAAAAATAACATTTATCGAATCAATAAAAACATATTTACCGAATCAAAACTAAATATTTACTGAGTCAATAAACAAATATTCGTTGTGCGATGAAATCCCCTTGGAATTCCCAGTCGTGTAGGTGGCCGGTCCTCTGGTCCGTCCCCTGGTCCTCTGGTCCTCTGGTCCGCTGGTCCTCTGGTCCGCTGGTCCTGGTCCGCTGGTCCCCTGCAGTCCGCTGGTCCACTGGTCCGCGAGTCCCTTGGTCCTCTGGTCCTTCATCTTTCTTTCTTTCTTTCTTTCTTTCTTTCTTTCTTTTTCGCAGCTGTTCTCCTTTCTCGTTTTTGCTTTTGCTTTTCCTTTTGGTTGCTTTGCAGAGACGAAGCCAAACAAGGAAGCAAGCAAGCAAGCAAGGAAGCAAGCAAGCAAGCAAGCAAGCACGAGCTGCTCACCTTTGGATCTGGTGTGCTGCTGGGGGGGGGCGCTGCGCCCCCCCCTAACCCCCTCGCGCCACGAAATCTGCACTTCATCCCCGACACCCGCGCCTGCCACGAAATCAATATTTTAAGGTGAACTCCCCGGTCCAAAATTTTCTAACCAAGCAAATATGCCTCCTCTATCTCTCTATCTATCTGTCTATCTATCTATATATCTATCTATCTATCTATGTATCTATCGATCCATTTATCTTTCTATCTTTCTATCTGTCTATCTGCAGTTCAACATCCACAAAGTACTGCCACCAAATCTGCACTCCAAGGGCCACAAAGTCCTGCACCTGCCACCAACTCTACACTTCCACATCAAAAAGTCCTGCGCCTGCCACGAAATCTGCCCACTCCAAGGCCCACAAAGTCCTGCACCGGCCACCAACTCTGCACTTCCACATCCACAAAGTCCTGCACCTGCCACGAAATCTCCTCTTCAAGGTCCACAAAGTCGTGCGCCTGAAACGAAATCTGCACTCCAAGGGCCACAAGCTACTGCACCTGCCTCGAAATCTGCACTTCAAGGTCCACAAAGTCCTGCGCCTGCCACGAAATCTGCACTCCAAGGGCCACAAAATACTACACCTGCCACGAAATCTGCGCTTCAAGGTCCACAAAAAGTCCTGCGCCTGCCACTGGCCACCAACTCTGCACTTCAACATCCACAAAGTCCTGCAACTGCCACGAAAAGTGCATTGCAAGGTCCACAAAGTACTGCACCTGCCACGAAACACTACGACTACCACTGCGATACTGCTGCTACTATAGTACTGTTGCTACTCTTACTGCTACTGCTATTTGGAATATTTGTTTGAATCAGTATTTTTTTACTGATGCGTGTAGAAGTTTTTTTTGATCTCTCATCCAATGTAATACGAATCTGGAAGCCACTGTAGCAAGGAGCAACAGAGCAGGATTCAATGGCCACCGCAAGGGGAACGTCATTCAAGTTCCTACGAAACCACGCTTGAACAGTTCTGCATGAAGGCCACCTTGAGGAAGAGGTGATTTCAGCCAAGACCACGGTCGTTGGGATGGACATGTGCGTGCTGTATTGACTTGTTTTGATTTGCACCAATCAACAATATGACCACCAGGCCAATATTGACCTTTCTTGCCGCCAAAATTTGGCATATTGATGCTTGTTGGTGTTGGGTATTCTTCTGCCCCAGCGCCAGGTGGGCTTCACTGATGGCCACACCTCTCACTTTGACCTTGAGCACTTATCAAAGGAGACCGCTCCATGGCGGTTATACAAACACTGTTGTGTTGCTAAAATTGTGTGCTGTTTTCTTCTCTTTTGTTGCTTGATGTTTGTTTCTTGGCGGCTCATCAAGACAGGAAAGGTGCAGGCGCAGCATTATGAAACTAGCAGTAGCCCGATTCCGTTTCCATCGCGTTTAAGACCTTACCTCTAGAAAGCCAAGGAGGTTTGAAGATAAGGTCACTCTTGCTAGAAGAAGACCAACTCAGAACCAAACGAGAACCCGAAGGCGCCTCCCCGCAATCCGGAGTGGGCAGGTTTTCTCCCTTGGAATTGTGGGTTTTGACCAACAATACGTTTGATTGACGACAGGCAGCCATTTTGTTTTGTTTTGGGGTGCCGACAGTAGCAGCATCCTTTTTAAACTGCCTTCACGGCACCAACCGGGCGCGAAGGAACTCACAGACTTCAGGCTGGATGCGTCGGTCGACGGATTCCGTCTGTATTTGAACAGCACCCATGGTGACCGAACAACTGTTATGAGAACTCCGGATGGTGACGAACAAAGATCCTGCTAAAGGCACAAGCGCAAGCGTAAGATTCTCCAAATTGGGCCTTCCTAGATGAATAACTCCCCAAGCACCGAATGAGGCTCTTGCCGAGACCAGCCCAGGTGTTGCAAAAACACAATGGATTGGATTTCAGCTGATCCAGAAATTTAAATTTTGTGCAGTTGAACTTGGGGAGGCAGTGTAGAAGCATGCGGCGTTCAAATCGGTCCGTACGGTGGGCGACCAGTGGTAATTAGAAGAGTCATCAAGCAAAGAAAAGATCAATTGGGATTCACTGCCATTCACCGCCCACTCCACTAGACAGGCAGCTTTGCTCTGGAATAGCACCACACCACACTGGTTTCAGAAACACTGGATGAGCATTGTTTTTATGTTGATTCCTTTTGAGCTTGGCATTTTTGCCCGGGAGCTGATTGTGGCTCAGGCACACAGTCATTCAGCCTGCAGCCTATGCACGTCCAGAGCCCATCTTGTGGTCGGAAGGCCTGCCGAGACTTCTGCTACAACGGTCGTTCCCAAACCATGAAATCAGCAGAATTCTGTTGGGAACTCTAATTTGGAAACATCGTGCCTTTTCAAGTCAAACCAACACAGGAAACTTTGGACTCTGGATATATGGTTGCCTGACTTGACATTATTGCTTGCAGAGTGTCCATATGTACTTGCTCACCACATCAAAGATAGAGTCAGAGTAGACAAAACTAGGGCAGGTCGCTTGTGCACCGCCAAATAATCTCGCTTGTGCACAACGATTTCTGCTCACACACTTGTGCACCGCATGAACCCCGAGGCAAGGTTCACCACCTCGAAGTCTAGATTAAAGACAGGTTTGCCTCATCTCCCCGTTTGTCCTCAGCTTCCTCCGCGTCCTCCCTCCAGGGTACTGTGGACTGCGCTGGGAATGTTTGCGCGCTGGGCTTCACGGAATTAGCCTGCTGTGACGCGCAACGGGCTTCCTCCGGGCTTCGCTCTGCTGTGATACGCGCTTTCCCGGAATACCGCAAGCATCCTTGTTATTCTTAATTAAAGCTTGCTGTCACTTGGACACTGGTAACGAAGGGTCAAGGTCCAAGTGGAGGTCGAAAACACGCAAGGTTTCTTTCTCGACTCTAGAGCGGCTCACGAAGTCGCACTCTTTGTCTGGATTGCCATTGGCGTCGCGATCAATGCCCACCACTAGGTGGTCAGGTTCCGTAAGGTTAGGGCCAAAATGGCCAAAATTAGACATGTTGTCAAGTGGACTGAGTTTCCACAAGCGAACTCACACCGGTAAAAGGTGTACAAAAAAATTGCGAGCTCTCAGCCAATCATCCACTCCTCATATGGCAGGTCGCCATATTGGCGTCGCCAGGATTCCATGTCCTGCCACAGGGTCGTGCCACTCAAGCCGTTCACTCTGTACGGCGTACGAGGAGAAGGGTTGCAAAATGCGCAACAGGGACGTCGGTCGACTCGGTGTGCCTGCTTCAAACCATGGCAGCCGGCTCGAGTGTGGAAGGTGTGGCCAAACGGTGTCACGCGGATGCCCATCTCTATAGGACATTCATCGTCAAAGTGATCCAGGCGATAGCATCGTGACAGTAGAGCTTGACATTGCTGAAAGGCCTTGTCGGTCTCATCAGCTTCTTGTTGCTCTATGGTCCACTGTTCCATCATCTCGTTGTGGTGCCGGCGGTTCTCGGCATTGGTCTCAGCGGCCTTCACCAAGTCATTCTCAAGCTGCGATATGCGGCGGTCAAACAACAAGCTTTGGCCGTCCAAGACGCTGTCAAAGTGTCTCTTGTTTCAACCTTCGGCCACCCTCAACTTGACCTTCAGGTCCTTGATCTGACTTCGTCGTTCGAGGAATCTGCCCAACTTGTAGGTCAGGAGCTCACAATGAGGATGGTGGCGAGGATGAAAAGGGAGACATAGGAGAGAATCGACCACTCATCAGCAGGATCATCATCAGCCAGGCAAATGTCACCTGGAGCCAACGGCATGAAGTCACCCAAGTGTTCGGCAGTGACAGCCTTGATCTGTGTGAAGTAGATCAGCATAGCCATAGGCGTCGTCCTCAAGGACATAGAGGCCGGCCATGGTTTGCGAGCTCCAAGGTCTGTTGTTTGGCGACCTTGATCTTGAGGTAGGTGCGCTTGTCCACGGAGGAACTTGCAGAGGTAGTTGTCTCTTTGTGCCAAGCTGTAGAGAGCTTTTGCATCAGTAACCATGGTAGGTCGCAATGGCGAGCATTCTTGTAGTCGCTCTCGTAGCTTTGGTCTTGGGTCGAAGATGATTGACCAGAACCTGCAGATGTATTCTGCATTGTCGCTGGCACCGCCAGCAGCTTGTGCTTCAGCACTGAGGCTGGAGCGAGCAACACGGGGAAGCTTGTAGCTGCACCAGTCAACCACATGGTACGGGGTCTCTTGCTCAAAGACCTCCTCGGGGACGAGGATCGCCAGGTGTCCTTGAGAGGTATGGTCCTCCCGTGCTGCGTGGGAGGCATCGAACATCACCACCAGGCGGATCTTGGAAAGATCGGAGTGGTTGCGAGCAGATTCAAATGGCTCATACTTTAATGTCACATCGGCCTGTTCTTTTGCGAACTTGAGCAAGGCATTGTGGCTTCCATGATTGCACGCAACTTTCCAGTACGCAGTTGACCACTAATCAGGCTGCAGCTAGCTTGTAAATGAGGTTGTGACTGAACTGAGGGCCACTGTAGGCTTCCGAGTAGGTCTTCAGGTCCACGCCCTCGATGAACTGTCACAGGTTTGACTTTCTGCAAGAAATGGCGTTGTGACAAGGTCCAGGTGTAGTCCTTGCGGTCACGAAGTACTCCATGGTCTCATGGTCTTCTTGCCAACTTGGAAAATCAAACACTTCTTTCAAGCGGCGCTCGGCAGCGGCATAGGTGGGGCAATTGCGATCTCCTGCTCCCAACATGTCGTCCACATGGAGTGCTACGAGGCCACAAGGGACGGTGGAGCCATCTTCTTGGGGGTGATGAAGTACAAAAAGACATGGATCAAGATCATGTGCCGTCCACCCTTCCTGTGTCAATCTCCTTGTTGCCTCTTGCCACCAACGGCGGGGAGCGTCCAATGCGAGTTTCTGGGCCACAACCAAGGATCTGGAGACAGTCGCTGGGTAGGCAAAGCCAAAGTTGCCTTGTCTGGGCTTGCCCTGAAGGAATGCTGTGGCCACGTCTGCTGCCCAGCCATTCCACCTCAGCACGGCGGCCACGTACCACCAATCGGGCTTTTGCTCTTGGAGTGCCATCAGGATTCTTCGCCCACTTCAAAAGCATTCTGCTGCGTCTGCCTAGTCCAAGGTGGTGAACTCCCAAACTCCACATTCGAAGAAACTACGAAGCTCCTTGCACTTGGCCTCATAGAACAATTGCTGTTCTGCTTGTGTAAGATTCTTTTCCCTGATATCTGACTCGCCGCCTTGCCTTTCTCCTTCTTGATGTGCCGGAGCTGCTGAGTTTTCATGTGTTGAGCGGCCTTGCGGATAAAGGCCTCAAGGAGGTAGGTGAGCTCGAGGACAAGGTAGCGGTCATTCCTAGCTCCTTGCGTGTCACGGCATTGATCTGGAAGATCGTGTAGCCGACCCATTTTGGAGGTAGGCCTTTGGGTGCTTCCTTGGAGTGCTTCTTGAACACATTCTCAGTCTTGAAGTGGTCAGAGGAAGGCTCTTGCCCGGGTTCACGGAAGATGTTCCCAATGGTGACCCGGACATCATCAAGGTTCTCCAAGGGCACCGGAAGGTCAGCCTGATCACCCGGCTGAAATTTCTTTGAGCGAGGTCGTGCATGATGACGGATGAGGCATCCTCCCTCGACTTCCCAAAAGTCAGCCAGCTTTTGCTTCAGCTCTAAGAGAGGTTGGTCTTGTTGAAGGTCCATCCACGAGGGAGACTGGTATGGTGAAGATCTTGGATCTCAAAGGCCATCTCGCTGGACTCATTGGGAGGCTTCTCATATGAGCTTGGCTTCTCATGATGTCGAGCTCGTTGAGGACCAAAGGACAGGGTCTCTTGCCGATCAACTTGTAGTCTCTGTTGTTTGAACGTCCCCGCATGGATGGTGCTGTAGGCCTCAAAGGTCACCGGATCCAGATGCATTGGAGTCGGAGGCATCGTGGGAGGTTCCGGTTCTATCGAAGGCTTTGGCTGATCAGAGAGATCATCAAGATGTTCGCGAACAGCCGGCAGCAGGTGATCTTGTAGTACCGGAGGCGCCACAGGCTCTGCAGGAGCGGTTAGTTCGACAGTAGGCTGAGGGGGAGAGGGCGGAAAGGATGGAGTTCCTTGCAGTTCACCATCGTTTGGAGGTTCTGAGGGTGTGTAGTCATCCATCCAAGTCAACGGCGGCGCTTAGGCTCAGGGCCTTCGTCTGGTGACATCTCCTCCTCATGTTCTTCAACGTCCAGCGGGTCCTGCTTGTTGACTCGGCTCAGGTCAATGAACCGCGTCACTCCTCGACTTGAGTGAGTGAAGTGTGGAAGCTGCATCTCTGAGCTTCTCAACGGCTGTGTCTGTCCTCAATGGCAGTGAAGTCTGGTCGTACATGATGTGGTGCGGCACGAATCAACTGCGTTTTGTGAGCCAACCAGTCGACGTGAGGGCTACCCTTCTCTTCAACACAGACGACCTTTGCAGGGCCACGCCGTCTGATCTTGCACAGTTCATGTTGTTGAGCATCTCGCCAGTAGAAGCATCTCTGTCCGGCCAATAGCCGTTGGTTGACGCCTTGGTAGCGTCTCAGCAAGGCACGTCTCAGCTTGCGATCAGTCTCAGCCTGGAGGATGGCGGTCTTAGCCACATTGCGGCACATTGCGCTGATGGAGGTGTTTCTCAAAGGCTTCACGTTCGTGAAGAGCGCAGGAACTGGATTGTAGTAGTCCAGGTTGAGCTGGTTGATATCCAAGTACCCACTGGATAGGAGAGAATCAAACAACGGTAGGCTGAGCATTGAGCCGTGGAAGAATGTACGTCAGGGCCTGGCGGATGCCATCTCTGCCTTCCAACTTCAGGTCGTGCATGTAGACCTCAATGGCCTTTCGGAGCACTGCGTGTCTTCGCTCGACCTGACCAAGTCTTTCATGAGCTTTTCCTGGTGCGACCTTGTGGCTGATGCTGTGCCATGACTGTCGGTCCAGTCCAGGAATTCGTTGCTCAGCCAGCCACGTCCTTCATCGGTCACCAGTTCTTCAGGGGCACCAAAGTGGGAGATCCAGTGTGACGTGATGTAGTCCTGGGTTTGCTCAGTCTGCACTTCTCATGGCACTTGACATTTGGTCACAGCGCCTTGTCGTCAGGATGGTGGTGTCTTTCTTTGCTCCACTCCATCATTCCTCATCAACATCCATACAGACGGCGCCATATTGGCATTGGTGATGTCGAGCACGATAGCCAGGCAAGGAGTGAAGCGCTGCAGTGTCCCAAGAGAGGGCAGAGGTTGGCTGCTCGATGTGGCCGTGTCGCCCTAAGTTCAACTGCTTGAGATACAGAACTGAAGATGTGTCCGGTGGTGCCACAGTCTCGAAGTCCTCGTAGAACTTCTTTTCGCTGCTCGGAGGTTGCCGAGATGTTCTGCATGCGTGACCACGGACCACAGCTGGGAGACAGGTAGATCTCATCCGGCATCTCTTGATCTTGTAGTTCCAGGAAGGCGCGCTGGTGTGACTGGAGTGTGAAGTTCCATCCTGTCTCAAAGCCGAACGTTTTGACGGTCATGCCACTGGTCATGCCAATGGCTTTAGCCATCAAGAACGAGGGGGCGCCAGAATCAAGCGTAGCGCAGTCTGGTCGCTCGTGGCCGGCGGCGTCCTCAAGCAAAACCAAGGAGGTCTCATCATTCAACACAGCCATGCTTTCAACTGCTTGGCGTTTGCCAGAAGTCGTAGGAGCCGGCTTTGGTGTAGAACTCGCCTGAGTGCACTGGGCTGTCTCGTGCGAGGTTGAACCACAGCGCACGCAGCTGGTGCCAATGCTGAGCGAGCTCTTCCTTTTGGGTCAGGTTGCTTGCCAGGAGGGCGATCATAACGGAAGGTGCTGCTTTTGCCTTTTCCTTTGTTCTTTCCTGTCTTCCCTTTTCCCATGCCTTTGAAAGGCTTTTGCGATGGGGTAGTGCTCGATGAAGGGGCAGAGTCCTGGGGAGCCACCACCGGTAGAAATCCTCTGCTGAGCTTCAAATCATTGAAGCGCCTGCGAGCATCGACATAAGAGGCGTACGCCTCATCGAACTCCTCGGTGTCGAAGTCGGGCTTGCTCATCGGGTTCCTCCTGGTTCATCATCCATGTAGAAGGCATCATCTTCCTCATAAGTTGGGGCGCTGTCACCCCACTCAAACGTGGCTTCAGCGTCATCGCCGGCAAAATAAGATCGACCCTTGCCAGAAGCAGCACGGTTCCAACGGTCTCGAAGGAGTTGTCCACCGCCCTTGTAGTCCTGGCCCAGGATAGCGAACATGGATTGCTGAATCTTCGCTCTCTCTCTCTCTCTAATGAGGCGGCCTGGGTCATGATCATTTGCTTCTGTTTGTGGGTCAGGGCGGCTTTCGTCGAGAGGAACCAGCCTTATATTTGGCTTGGCAGTCGAATTCCATGTTTTTCTACCTGTTTCTTCCGGTCGTCGTGGTCGGTCACGTAGTTCAGGAGGGTCTGACCAGGCTTTCGAGCCAAATGCTCAATTAGGCAAAGAAATCTGCCGGCATCTCAACATTGGAGTCGTACTGCAAGGAGCCATCCAGGATCTTCAAGATCTCCTGGGGCGCTTCTGGGCAGGTTGAAGTCCTCGCGCAATTTCCATGCGACACCCGACAGGCTGCCCAGCAAGTTCAGGATTGCTTCACCCTGCCGTTTTGACAAGGTCATCTTCCTGTAGTAGATCATGATTCTCTTCCGCCACTCACGGTATCCCGTCAGGGATCCATCGAAGAGCGGGATGAAATTGTCTTTGGCCGAGTGAGTGTTGAGCTCGGCATTCTTTTCCGAGGTCATACTGTACAAGGTAGCACAAGGTCACCAAGACGGTGGAGTAGAGCTTGTCGGCACAAAGAGCTCTGGTGTAAGCACTGCTCAGGGTGAAGAAGATGACAGGGTTGTGGGTGCAGTTTCCTTGGAATGCGTAGGGGGTCGGGAGGGAGCTACCCGGAGCGAGGCAGCTCCGCTACCAATGTCACTAGGGTCAAGGTCCAAGTGGAGGTCAAAAACACACAGTCGCACTCACGAAGTCGCACTCTTTCTCTGGATTGCCATCGGCGTCACGATCGATGCCCGCCGCACTAGGCGGTCAGGTTCCGTGAGGTTAGGGCCAAAATGGCCAAAATGAAACATACTCTCACGTGGACTGAGTTTCCACAAGCAAACTCACACTTGCAATTGTTGATGCAACGTCAATTTCTCCACACAGAAAAAGGTCGAAAAGCGTATATGATTAGAAACACACTGAGCTGAATCCCGTATCTTCCAGTATGCTCCATGCCTTTTCTTTGCTGCTGGCGGGGATGCGGCCCTGGTGCTTTAGCCCACTTGCTCCGGCGGCAGGATTTCCGCACCACGCGAGACCTATTTTTGCCGTTGGCTCAACAGGGTCAGGAAAACCGTGAGTCAGGAAACCTTAAATGTTGCCCATGCCAAATAACCTGTTATTTTTCTTCCTCTAGACCTTTGGACCTTTCTTTTTGCTTTGTGTGTACCAATTTGATTCTTGTTGTTTCCTTTTTAGGTTCGTTGGTCGCCTAGATGCTCCAGCTCCCGCGCGTTCACCCTCCACACCCCGTTGAAAGAGTGACCACGGCGTGCGCCAGGTGAAATGTAGGCCAGCAATGTCTTAGTATAAAATGCTATCAGGGAGAGGCCATCGCTATTAGGTTGACTGCGGGTCCTTGAAGCCGGATGCTTACAGTCACATTGGGTACAGGGAGTGCGCTATAGCCCGACAAAACAGAAGCAAAAAACATACTGTGACAAAAACACCCCGCCCCTATTCTTTGTGACGGAAGTGATCTTGCGCGATCCACATAGTTTACAGCGGAAATGAGTGCGCAATGAACCACCTATGCCTTTTGCGCCCGCCGCACCCCTACCCAACCTCACACCAAACCCACCCACCCACACGCTCACTCACTCACCCACTCACCCCCTTGCGTTAACTGGCCTAACCCTTCAGAGTGGAGAGTGGAGGAGATCCGTGGTGCCCGAGTGATCCAGAGCTGTGGGGTGTGATCTGTGGTGCCTGATTCATTGGCAACCTTTTCAGCACGTTAGAGCCTCATGGTGCGCAAGTGAAGGGAATCTGTGGTGCGCAAGTGGCCCCTTGCTCACAAAATGTGTGCTTGTGGCCCATGCACTCATGTGGCATCCTTGCGCGTCTCTTAGCACACGTTCATGCTTCGGCACACCATGCCCGTTCCAGCAACTTGCTACGATGTGCTGCGAAAGGCCAAGATGTTGGTGGGAATTCCTTGTTGGCATCCGGCCATTGTTCTTTCCTTTTGCAGGCCGGCTCAATAAGTATGACTACAGCGAGGTCCTAAGCAATGAAGACACCCGTTGTTGCTGATCTCGGTCCTAGTTCGTCGTGGTCCCACAGGTCGTTACTGATGGGACCCGGTTGGGTCCAAGTCTTGCGGCCGAAGTGCTTGTGCTCCCAGTGGTTTGAAGACGTTCAAGTGTGCTCACTCAACGGTTTCCTCCTTCTTTGTCGCAAAGAGACATGTTTTTCTCGCAGTGGCCATCATTACTGTTGCCTTTCGGTTGCGCTCATGACATGGGGGGGATGCTGGGAAAGACTGGACGAAAGCTGCGAGTATACCTGCAGCATACCACCAATTTATATAGATGATTATTGTTTTATGTTGGTTGCGACTAGACACCTATGTATAGACAAGTTTAGAGCGCTTCTTGTTTGGTGAGCCAGGGTAGGCCGCGAAGTCTGTCATTATTGAAGTGTTTACGATGTGCAGTTCTTAGGTCACCCATGGTTACCCTCATTCCGACTCATCATTACTTGACACTTGTGGCCATAATTTTCGTTCCCCTCCACACCTCATGATGTACGGGCCAAAAGAGACAGCGCCGGCACCAGCCCACTGCGCACCGAGATGCACGCTTTGTCATGTCACACGCCAAGGGTAGTTTGATGGTCATTGATAAAGGGCTTTTCGTCCCCTCGCACACAACACCCTTTGCTCGAAACTGTGTTCTTCGCTCTCCAATTTGCTGCGCTGGTGCCAAGTCCAGGAAACGCGACTGAAGCTGGTCAGTGATTTGCTGATTCTGGGGGCTGCCATCATAAAGGGTGTGCCCAAGGACAGGGTTTGGTTGGCATGCATGGTGGATGAAAGGGGTTCCATGCTGTATTTACATGAGTTTACACGTTTCATCAAGTCTTAATCACTTCAGATTTGCATTGTGCGGGGAGGGAAGGTCAAGAAAGTTCGACCGGAGCTGTGAGAAGCCGCGAAGCTGTGGGAGATCTTGTCCACAGACCCCTTCGCGAGAAAATGTTCACAAAGGCCTTTGTACACCCCTTAAACCGGCTTTGTGGCTTCGCGAGTCCGATTGGCTTAGTAACTTAGTAGCTGGTTTAGTCAAACAGGCGCTCACACCAGTTCGTTGACAGATTGTACATGTGAATACGCGGGCGTGTCTATGCTTCTCAAGTCGTGCCCGATGGTAGGAAAAGGTGCTTGTGTTGTTTTCCGTCCTCCCTTAACCTGTTTCAGTGGTAGCGGAGCCCGGAAGGGCTACCGTTGGTAGGGGCCGAGTCGCCGGCGTCGTCCGGTCAGTGGTGATGACGGAACCGGTCGAGGCGCGTCGCGTGACGGTGTCAGGGAGGCCTACTCCTATGGCTGCTGCTGCAGATGGTGGACATCCGCTTGGGAAGCAACTCCTCCAAAGAAGGTGGTACCTTTACGAGCGCTGGGCTAGCGGCTGCTGTTGGGGCCAGATGAGTTGATCCTTGGATGGCAGCTCACTCAGGCCCGTGGGCTAGTGGACAATAGGGTGGAGGAGGTAGGCGGGATGGGTGAGTCAGACCAATGGCATGTCCTCATGCAACTCGTGGGGACGGGAGCAGTTGGAGATAGGTCTACCCCCTCAACAACTTCATCAACAGCCCCTGGATAGTATGCGACTCTGGTCAATACATCAGAAGTTCTATCTGGTCGTATGGTGGTTGATCTGGGGCGTCTTCGCGCGGTGGCCGGTATACAATGGGTGGTCCATGAGGTGAAACGTTGTCGGGAGCAAGGGAGGTTTGTGGCAGTGAAGAAGACCTTGGATTATTTTCGTTTCGGTGATGGGGAACGTCGGCCGTCGTATTGCAGAGTGTTCTTGGAAGTTGGCGTAGCAAACAACGTGGGCCTTTTAGCAATCAATGCAGTGGATTATCCACGCCCCCCTCTTAGCATTGGGACTTCAATTGGATTGTGGGTTCTCGACATTTTTCAACATCGCTTGAAGGCAACTTTTTGTTGAGCATTGCTTGCGCTCATCCTTCATGGCCGACTTGGACAGAGTTGTTGCATGGCGGACAGACTCCGAAGATTCAGCGTGAAGAGATTCAATATTTTGAGTTGCGGCAAGGCAAGCCGGTGGGCAAGGGAGTTCGCCGCGCTCAACAGCACTCCATTGTGACAGGCGGCCCACTCATGGCCCAAGCGCGGCGTCGTGCGGCGGCGGCAGCGGCATCCTCTTTGCTGACGGTGCGCCTTCCCGATCAAGAAGCAGTGGATTGGGGCTGCGAAGTGGAGGAGGCGGAGGAGGAACTCTTCTTTCACCGGAAGGCGGCCAAGGGGGCACGCTTGGACGAGTCCATGGAGGATCAACAGGCTCAGCGGCAGGGGGGCTACAAGTCTTCTGCCGCCGACCAAGAAGGAGATGAGCGTGACGGAACAGGAGCCGACCAAGACCGCGAACCAAGAAGGAGCAGCATCTTGCCTTCACGGGCCTGAATGCAGAGTGTCCGACGACGCTTGGGATGACCCTGAGAGCCGATCCCGTGATGAACGTGAGCTGGACCATTCATGGACGCCTCCTGGTGCACAAGTGAAAGCAAATGGTGTTGATGCTGCGAGCCCGGGATGCCATGACAGAAGAGGGCCGCCGCTATCGCCGACGCCCATGATGTTCTCTCACGAGGTGGCTGCGCTGTGGGGGCACTTGGGGGGCGCCACCAAGACGCTTCAGGGCCCTCACGGGCCGCCGTTCATGAAGTGAGGGAGCAGAGTGAGCCGTGCCGCGCAATCCGTGCGTGACTCATGCCTGGAGTCGCGGTCGAGTCCAGCGATCAAAGCAAAGTGTCAAACAAATCAGGACAGCCATGTCTCATTTATCTTTGGTGGCGAAGTGCGTGACCACACTGCCTGGAAGGTATTAGAGGTTTTTTGTGAGAGTACCAATTTATCATTGATCGCTCGTTCGACAGGCAAATGGATTGATTTGGAACCGGTCGACTTGATGTATGGCTCTGATTTGTTGAGCTTCAGCGCCTGATCTTGTGTGCCTTGAACCTCCTTGTGGCCCTTGGTCATCTTTACAGCCATCGAACCCTAAGGCAGTAGGTTTGAAAATTCAACGCAGGGCAGGTCGTCTTGTTTTGTTGGGACAGCCATTGCATGAAGAGCGCCGCTTTGATGTTGGAGTCTGGAGTGCATGTGCAATCGTCCTTCTGTGTTTCGAGCCGCGGTGGACCAATGTCAATGATATGGTGAGCCACAAGCTAAATAAAGCAAACTGCTTTGGATGTCAATTCAGAAGTGTTTGCAGCGGCTTTGATGGTTCATGGTTTATGTGCTCATGCCCTCATGAACATGAAACGATTGAAGGACAAACCATGATCGATGGCAAGCGGCTGAATCGTTCCCTTGTAGCTGGCATGTGGGCGCCATGTTTTGCTAGACGCATTTTGTCATGTGCTGCCTTGACCTTACAGCACACGACACTCTGGCAACAACGGGTGGGGGGCTCGTGCACCGGCTTTGAAGAAGAGCTGGAACAACAAGACCCAGTGTTCCTGCAGACCGATTAACGGTCACTCACGCGTGCCTCGGCTGGATGCTATGCTTTTGGGGTCTCGTGGCGCCCTCATTGCAAGCTGGGGCGGTGCACTCAATGTCATGGGGATCATGCATGTCACCATACAGATGAGGCGCGAGGAACCCTGGGGTGATGCCGCTTTCAGGTCTTGGGAAGAGGCTCAAGGAGCAGCCGCGTGGACTGCTCTTGGGGCCGCTACTGATGATCTGCATCCCGACTTAGCCAATCAACAGGCGTTTCGTCGACTGCAGCGAGAAGAGGATGAACGCAAGGGTGATTTTAGTGGGATGGATAGCCGGTATGTGTATTGCAAGTTTGCGGGTCCTTCCTTGAGGGTGAGCAAAGCCATCCGCAACCAGGCAGCCAAGCCTCGTCCAAAGCACCCGAGAGGTTCAATGCGCACTGCTCTCTGCTCTTTGGATTCTTTCTTCGTTTCAATGCTGACAACCAGCCGTGGAGTGTGACCCATGTGGTTGATGGGTTCTGTTCCTTGCAATATGCTGTTTTATCCAAGAATCCTTCTTCGCAAGTGAGCTGCTCGGTTCTGATTGACAATTGGGTGATGGTGCATAGACCAATGGACCAATGAAAGAAGTCTCGGTCGATGGGGGGGCCGGAATTTCGTGGTCGGTTCCCGTGTCTTTGTCAGCTGCCGACATCAGCCAAATGGAAGGCTGGCCTGGCAGAGAGGTATGGACCTACTATTCTGAAGCTCATCTTGCTTAAGGTGCTACATGAGTTGGTGCTGACTAAGGAATCTTCCTTGCAGTATGCCCTGGCCATGGCAGTCCAAGCCAAGAAGCGTTTGTCCTGGACGGGGTCAGGTCATTCCTTCATCTTTAGTGGAACAGGTCGATCGCGCTGAGGTGCAGTTTGCCACCAACAGTCAGCTCTTGGAGCTCCAGGAACATCAATTGATGGAGCGTATGCGCCAAGAAGCTGCTGCCGCCTTTCATTGGCTGGACTCCCATGAACTTTTGAAGACAGCCTTGAATGCAGGAAGCCGACCACCTCACTTGAAGGCACTGTCGTCAGAGTGGTGTGCGCTTAGCCACACCGGAGGAAGAAATGGGGACTAGCTTCATCCTGGATGCCATGAACACCCTTGAAGAAGAGCTCACAGGTCATCGTCGCCCGTCAGGATGAAGAAGAAGAAGAAGAGCCAGAGGCAACAGACGAAGCCGTCGCCCGGGGTCTGGTGATCTCCCAAAGGGCCAACCAGAAGGCCTACAAGGCCAACATGAAATGTCAAACAGGCACTCACACCAGTTCGTTGACAGTTTGTACATGTGAATGTGCCCGATGGTAGGAAAAGGTGCTTGCGTTGTTTTCCGTCCTCCCTTACCACTGATCCGTTTCAGTGGTTTGACCTTCGATGGGTAGCATAGCAGGAGTGCTGCGCCACCAGTTTCACTTTCAGGGTTGGGGGGATTTATATAGGAAATTTTGGGGCTAGACTGCCCCCACAAGACCTTTGTCCGAGGTCCTTCTACGAGGTCCCCTTCGCTCCCATTCGCGAGATCTCTAGTGCGAGACCTGCCACAGCGCCATTATAATCGCATGCATTCGCACCGGGCCTCCCTGGGCCTGCCCAATCCCTCCAGATTTCGATCAAAGGCCAATGGGCATCAGTTGGAAATGCCCTTCGCCCTGCTCAAGCCAACAAGGAGCAAGGCTTGTGCGAAAGGTTTGCCAAGAACCTGAGCACCCTGAGGGACACAGAGTGGGGTTCCTGGTTCGACATCCGAACGCACTTGGGCAGCAGAGAGGCTAGCAACCAGCCAGAAATATGTTTATCACTCTCCTCACAGCAGTGTCTTGAAAGAAAGATTGCAGCTATCACCGCCACACACACATATGTATAGATAGATAGATAGATAGAAGTTGAAAAGAAGCGGGTGTTTCCAGTGGTGTGCTGGGTGTCCGTTCGCCTGGAGGATTATACAACGATTGAAGCAAATTGCGTACGCGCCTACAAATTTGATCATCAACAAAAGAGGCTACGGCTACTGCCACCCAGCTCGCCTTCGGTCAAGCGGACGTCGCCACAAGTGTGACATGACCCATGAGTCCTCACTTCCTATCTTCACACGAACCAAATAAAACGAACTTAAAAGCGAGTGAATTTTGAGGTGCTTTTCTCAATTGTCGATTAGACCCTGGCAACGGGCAACCCCTCCAGGAAACAACACACACCAACAACTGGGTTTTTCATGGTTTGCTTCTTCAAAGCGAAAGGTTCCTCCGCTCAACAAGGTTTGTGCGTGGTTGCTTTGTTCTGGAATTGAAATCAACATGTAACTTGAGTTCAGTGTGCTTCAACACCGGCATCCAAATGAACAGCAGGCCTGCAGATTGTGATTCAATGGTTTGGGTTTTCCAGCCCAAAAATTCCTCCCGTGTTGTAGACAAGGATCAGCCTTCTTGGTGTCAACTTATCTCAAAATCCTTTCGAAACGATCAAACGTGATGGCCATAATCGTAAATAGATATGTGTATATATATATATGTATACACACAATGTCGCAGTGGAGCCGTCATCAAGCCATCCCGGCAAATCAGGAAGCCAACTACGAAGATGCATCTTGGTCGAACCGATGAAAACCAAATATGTTCTTGACGATCTCAGCACAGGGACAGTCATGCAGCCACTTCACCAGTCACTGTGCCAGTCCCCATGCACGGGCGTCTATGAATCACACATATAACTGTTTCCCAACGTTGGCACACAACTAGGCCAACATGATTCTTGCAAAGAATCCAGACATCAAGTCAAGTCCTTTAGAAGTAGAACTTTGGTGGCTGGCCTGCTTGTATAAGCGCTTGCTGATTCTTTGGCAACCTGATTTCTTGGTGGCGAAGCAAGATAGACTCCCTGCAAGACTGCACCGCAGAGCACGCAAAAAGCATCAAATCGGTTTCTTTGAGACTCTTGGAGCGGCGCTTGTGCAAGTCACAGGAGCACTCAGGAGCATCACTTCCTTATTGAGTTCCATTGTTCGGGCAACATCACAAAGAGGCTACTGGTAGCTTAACAACAACCTATTAGCATCTAATAGCTATTTTCTAGCTCGGTGACTATTCTCAGGCGAGATTTGGCCTTTACGCCTCGGGGCATCGGATTTCACACGGACCAGACTTGGCGGGACCCAACACCAGCCTCTCGGACCTCGCCGGTGAAACCTATTGGAATTCACCGGTATTTACGGCATGGATTGTTGACAACAGGGTTTGAGACATGGCACCTGGCATGCACATAAAAATATTTGACATACACAGGTGACATGCACGCGCTTTTGTGCCACTGCGTGGGAAAATTACACAAATCAACATGTTCTGAAAGCTTTGGGGGAAAGCTTGATTGCATTTGCTGTGCTCGGCATGCGTTTGGTTGAAAGAAAGCACTTGAAAACTCTGCCATACCTCCTCAGAAGAGAAAGCTCGATTCATTTGTCACCCTGGCCTGCCTGTTTGCAATTTTGCTGATTTGATTGCTGTTTTCCTTTGTTTGCTGCTTGCGTTGATTGCATTGCTGTTGCTTGTGCTTTTGCTTGCTGTTTGCTTGCTCTTGTTTGCGCGCGCTTGCTTGTTCGCGCTTGCTTGCTCGCTTGGCTTGGCTTGCTTGGCTGGCTTGCTTGCTTGCTGGCTGGCTGCTGGCTTGCTGGCTTGCTTGTTTGCTTGCTTGGCATTCCGGAAATTGAAGTCCAGCCTGGTGCAATGGATAGGGCTTCACCTGGAACATGTCCGTGTTGGGTTCACGTTTTTGACCTCGTTGTTTCTCAAAAATCTGTATGAAAGTCTCATAGGTCTCTAGGTTTTGTGTGTGGTCCCACCACCGCCTCCGCCTCCTCATCCTTTTCTCAAAGACCGTGAAGCTCCGTCGTTCCAAGGTTCACGAAAAGAAAACAATGCATGACTGCTGACCTACTTGTACACCCAATCAGCCTCGAGACACAACGGAAGTAGGGCTGACAACTTTGTTTGAGGCTCCACGGACCTGTTGTAGCAGCGTAGCAGGCACATCAGAGTGGCGATATCACCAGATTAATTAGGCCCCTGCGTGTGTGATTTAGTAGCACGACTAAGCATAGACGCCGTTGACTCCAAAGCTGACACACATTGCACGTTTTCTAGCTGGCTGGTCTCAAACTTTCTCTCAGCTTGCCTGTGTTCGCATTGCCTATGCTTGGATTCGTTTGCTTGCTGGCCGGCTGGCTGGTTGGCTTGCTCCTGGCTGCCTGTCGGGCTCGCTTGGCTTGCTTTGCTTAGCTTGCGTTGCCTTGCCTTGCGTTCCGGCGTGCTTTCTTGCATGCTTGCGTGCGTGCGTGTGCGTGCGCTTGCTTGCTTGCTTGCTTGCTTGCCTTGCCTTGCCTTGCTTGGCTTGGCTTGGCTTGGCCTGGCCTGGCTTGGCTTCGCGTCGCGTCGCGTCGCGTCGCGTCGCTTGCTTGCTTGCTTGCTCACCATTCTGGGCATGAAAGTCCAGTCTAGTGCAATGGACATGGCTTCACCTGGATCTCATTCATGTCAAATGTTAGATCTCCTTTTTCTCAATTTGTCGGGTGGGCGCCTGCAGGTTTTGTCAGTGGTCCCACCGCCGCCTCATCGTCCACCTTCCTCCATAAAACTTTCCCAGGCACATTGTTGAGAAGTAGGGTTGCCTAGGAGTTCTGTGCAATCTTGAAGTGCCCCACCATGCAAACGGTTGTAACTTGCTAATTAACCTAAAACTCAAGCCAACCCATGCACACACAGACACACACTCGTGAAATTGCGTACGGAACTGAGTGCCACTCGCCACACGGCAACCTAGGTAACCATATTCCTGAGAAGGTCAAGTAAGGGGGTCTGATAAAACTATTCATTAGGAAATCCATAAAGCATCGAAGCGGCGACAAGGCGAAGTGACGACGATCGCTCTCATTTGCAGAATGGTGAATCGCCGCAATGGCTGGCAGTCTTGTCGTAGTTAAGACGGGCCCAGTGGGAACTTAAAGTCAGAACTCTGCACGCGCGGAGCTGGACGTCTCCAACTGTATCACAGGTAACTGATGAGCGTCTTTGTTAGCACCGGTCTCATCAGCGCCCCGGTGCCCCCCGCTGTCAAAAAGCATTAAAACATACAAACGAATCAACGGACAGAGTCTTTTTTCCAAGTGCCAGACGCTCAGGAGTGAGAGCCCAGGACTACAATGCACATGTGTGCATGCAAGAGGGACAAAAAAGTGAAGACATGAGAAGAAGCGAGACAAGACCAAGCTATGTAATTGTGACGGGGGGAAACCAAATGCGCAGGGACAACCCTGGGCCACCTAATGCCTGTTTGACATGTACGGGTGCACGTATACATATAAGGGCCGGACCGATGTGCGCGCAAGAGAAGAAAAGGGCGAGGATGACAGGACGTGAAGACAGAAAGGACATGAAAGAAAAGAATGAAAAGAAGCCTGCGGGGGCCAATGACGAGGGAACCACATGAAAGGGGACAAACCGATGAGAAGCCGAGCCTCATTAAGCCACCTGTTGTAAACCCCTAGATTGCTTGTAAGACACGCAGCGCACGAAGAAGGAGGGGAAGGGAAAGAAGAAAAAAAACGAAACGATGGTTCCCGGCTGCAACTCCAGCGTCCAAGGACACACCAGAGTTCCCAGCTATGATGGTAGCATCCCAAGCAAGAAAGAAAGGCGGAGGGAAGAGAAGGGGGAGAGAGAGAGAGAGAGAGACAAAAAGCACAGGAGGAGGAGGAGGAGGAGGAGGAATCATGTATGTAAACTAAGGATGTGGCTGGCCCCAATGGGTCAAAAAGATCTACGACTGCTGTGGTCTACTCGGGCCAAAGTGGCTGGCTGTTCTCATCCGCTGTGGACACGCTCTGGCGTGCTTGAGGACTGCCTACTCAGTTGCAATAGTCCATCAACCCGTCCGCTGTGGACACGTGCGTCCCCGAGCACGGGGAACCGAGACAAACCCCCGTTCAACGGGGCTATACGGGGCCACAGGGGCTGGGCTCTCACTGAGGAGAAACAAACTCGTGAAATTGCGTGCGGAACTGAGTGCCACTCGCCACACGGCAACCTAGGGAACCATAATTCTGAGAAGGCCAAGTAAGGGGGTCTGATAAAACTAGCCACTAGGAGGCCAAAATCAGAATCCATAAAGCGGCGACAAGGCGAAGTGACGACGATCGCTCTCATTTGCAGAATGGTGAATCGCCGCAATGGCTGGCAGTCTTGTCGTAGTTAAGACGGGCCCAGTGGGAACTTAAGAACCCTGCAGGCACGCAGTTGGACGTCTCCAACTGTATCACGGGTAACTGATGGGCGTTTTTGTCAGCACCGGTCTCATCAGCACCCCTGGTGCCCCCTTATGTCATTCAAACAGTCATACAAACAAGTCAACAGTTTCCCTGTCGCCGTTTTTACGAAGCTGATCTCACAGCTTCGTTCAAGCTGATCATCTCCAGCCTCATGTCGGGATGTGACCTTCTCAACGTTTGTGCTCAATGTTAGAGATCCAATTATAGGACCGCTGCGCGCCCCACTCGCCAAGCATTTGAGCACTCCCATGTTGTGCAACTTCGCAGCATTTCGCAGCGTTCTGCTGAGTTGTGCATTGCCGCGTGTTCATCAACAAACAACTTGCCTGCTGTGATAGACATGTAGTCATCCTCCCTCACATTTTGCCGCCAACCTTTCCTTGCTAAGCAACGTCGCATCTCGAAGGCCATTTGCCCTCAACATGCGCCTGATTTTTCTCTCAGATTTTTTGAATTCATCTTCAGATTTTTCCAGCAGCGGGATGGGGGAGGATGAAGAGGGCGAGGGTGTGCTTGCTGAATATGTGAAAGGGGCACCTGTCTGGGAGCACCTTGTTTTCTTTGACCTTGGCGACCTCAGTGAGTCTTTGCAAAAGGCTTGAAAGATGTAGAGCAGAAGCACCGCGGATCTGCAGCAGGGGACCAAGTTCAAGGGTCCGAAGTGTAGCTCTTCAATTCTTCGGTTTCATCGCCTTTGTTTGGAAAGAGAAGTGTTTGCACTCTGAATGCATGTTTCTTCTGCATAGACGTTTTGCTAGGGTGACAGTATCGCAGTCCTGGCTTGCTGCTTAAGTTTTCATTTTTTGAGTTTGATTCTCGGTTATCTACGCATTTCCCGCCCTGTGTCTCAGTTACACCATTTTACTTACACCATTTTATACCTCCCTGTGCCTTCCGCCTCAAAAGCCTGTCCTGTGGCAACTTGCCGTGCGTCGCCCTGATCCCCGCCAACATCGCCACCGGTCATGCCTGGAATTGATTGGCCTTCTCGATGCAAGTACGGCGGCGCTTGCCCGAACTTGGGAAAATCAGTGAAAGATGCTGGGAGTGAGGAGTGCGGTTCTTGTGCTTGTATGCTTCTGCTTGTATTCTCCTTCCGTCCAGGTTGTCAAATTGGTGGGCTGCCTCCACAAATCTATAATTGGTAAAACGTTCTGGACCTCCCGCCTCCACCCTCCGCAACGAGCAAAGTCTTCAAACAACCTCAAGCATGGGGCTGGCCAAACCCAAGAAGTCTTCCTCAAAAAAACGCTGGGAGAAAACTGATCTGGCTGGTTCGAAGAAAGTCAAGCCAAGCCCGCCATGACAAATGTACACACATCAAGTTGGGCAAGGCTTGTTGCAGGCCTATGCTACTATCGATGTGCAAGGAGGGGGCGAACTCAAGAATGATGACCATTTTCTTCTCATCAGAACACACGAGTTCCCCAAATCTCTCAGCCGAACCTGTCGTGGTGATAGGCCGGCAAACGACTCTTCTGGCTGATGCCCACTAAGCATACTGCGGCAAGCGCAAAGGTGGACTTGTGGAAAGGCCACCAAAAATTGAGGTCCTCCTTCCCGAAGGCCGCAAGATTACTTGCACAAGGCAAACATTGACATGGAAGCTCTTCATGGTTCCCGCACCTGTCCTGAAGTTTGGGTGCCTTCGTGCACAACATCTCCAATTCCCTTGCCCGCAGTGTCCCAGTGCCCAACAACAATTTGCCCAAGCAAGCAACTGTTGCGTCGAATATTTTGGCGCCATGGGTTTCACAGTTTTCTCGCGCCTCCCCTTTTCTGTTTTTTAACTCCTTGTGGGGAACTTTCTGTTGCACACAGTGGCATTTGTGAAGATGGGAAAACAAGCACGCAAAGCAAACAAGACTGTTTCATAATTACTGTCTCATTGAATAGCGCGACGCGATCCAAAGTCCGGTAGTGGCACGGTGGTGCAGATTGTTTCATGTCAAGGTTTACTCAGCCGCTTCATTTTGCCCTTACAACTCACCAGACAGCATAGCTTCAGCAATGGCGCACCATAGTCATTCCGAGGCAGAAAACGTCCATCGATCCCCCAACTAGAGTTAGGACAACTTCTTTGGGAATATGATGAAATATGCGTGACCGGCAAACCATGTCAACGCGGGCATACAACTGGACAATATCTAGCTTGCCATGGTGGCTCTCCAGGACCCATCTCGACCTCAGAGTAGATAAGATTCTCCTGAGAACTTGTTGTGGTTTGTGGTCATCCAGATTTCCTCAAAAGTATGTGCAGCCCCTTCAGTGCCATGAAAAACCTTCGGCGTGTTAGCAACCCTTGCATAAGCAACACTTGCATACAGAACACACAGATGTTGGTGGGCCGGTGTTGGAGAGCTACGGAGCCACCGTGGTTGGATCTCGCGCATCAATCAACGCATGCATCAATAGGTCCACCTTGCACGAGAATCATTGCGGGGCACCACATCGCGCGGCATTAAAACCTATCAATTCGATGTTTCTAAGGACTTCCAGCTCTTGCACGCATTGGAGCATTGCAGTTGTCCTGGCGAGGCAGTGGGTCCAAACTGGGCGGCAACATCGGCAGTTGAACAGTGTATCATTCCCCAATAGCCATGCTATGGGGTCTTGCAAAACTAATAGGCGGACGGGCGCCGTCGGGTCACCGTCAGAGCTGGTGGGGGGATGGTGTCCCGGTGATCTTTTGATCTTGTCCCGGTCATGTTGTGACGGCGTCCCCGTCATGTTGTGACGGTGTTCCGGTCATGTTGTGGTGTTGCCCCCGTCATGTTGTGTTGGTGTCCCGGTCATGTTGCGACGGTGTCCCAGTCATGTTGTGACGATGTCCCGGTCGTGTTGTCTTGGTGTCCCGGTCATGTTGTGGTGTTGCCCCCGTCATGTTGTGTTGGTGTCCCGGTCATGTTGTGATGGTGCCCCCGTCTTGTTGTGACGGTGTCCCGGTCATGTTGTGATGGTGTCCCGGTCATGTGATGCTGGTGTCCCGGTCGTGTTGTGATGGTGCCCGGTCATGTTGTGATGGTGTCCCGGTCATGTGATGCTGGTGTCCCGGTCGTGTTGTGATGGTGCCCCGGTCATGTTGCGACGGTGTCCCCGTCATGTTGTGACGGTGTCCCGGTCATGTTGTGATGGTGTCCCGGTCATGTGATGCTGGTGTCCCGGTCGTGTTGTGACGGTGTCCCGGTCGTGTTGTGATGGTGTCCCGTTCGTGTTGTGTTGGTGTCCCGTTCGTGTTGTGTTGGTGTCCAGGTCGTGTTGTGATGGTGTCCCGGTCATGTTGTGACGGTGTCCCGGTCGTGTTGTGATGGTGTCCCGTTCGTGTTGTGTTGGTGTCCAGGTCGTGTTGTGATGGTGTCCCGGTCATGTTGTGA